TGCACCGGAACGTGTTCTGTTGAGGAAAGAATATTTACTTAAACTGGAGTCAAAATATAGCGAAATAGGTGTTGTCATGAAGGTTTGGTTTATTTAATTATGGCACGGGGCCTAAGGGGAGGGGCCCCTTGCCCTATCATGCCTTCGTGGAGAATTTTCTTAGAGAAACTGGCTCGTATACACGTTACACATGGAAAAAACCACGAAAACGCCATGCATCCAGCCCGTTCACGGGATTTGAACCTCGGACCGAACTACCAGTGTTCAGCGACTTTACCGCTCGGCCGCTGGTGGGACTGCCGTCATGAAGGAAACTTTTATTTCTAAAATTCTTAACTATTTTGTGAGAACAGTTGGTTGGTCATGCACATTTTGAATGTAAATATGCTGGTGATCCAGACAGTCGAAATGGATTTCATGAGCTGCAGGACTCCTTGTATTTTTCAAATGTATTTAAAAATTTATTTCTAACAAAATCACAGAAAATTTTTTGTTTCCAAGAAAATTATAACAATCAGCTAGAAAATTAATGCTTATCAACAAGTCGTGCCGAAAAATGTGAAATTTATTTTGACCAGACGGTTAATTGACCTGAGATAGCAAATGACTTTATTTGTCAAAATGAATGCAATATGAATTTTAGTAAACTAATTGTTACTGATGACGTTTTTGATGTTATTAATGTAAATGATGTATTGACTAATGTTCAAAGTTTGTATGTATGAAAAGAAACTGATTTTTTTTTAAGATTTATTGAACAGTTCTTTTTGAAAAGAAAATAAATAACGCTTTTTAATTATTATTTTATAGTTTTTCTTTTGTGTCAAGAAATTTTTATTTAAAAAATTTTACTTACTTTTGAGTGACTTAGTATATGCATGTAACCTAATATTTTTATCTGTATATTTTACTAATAGAAACTAATTAAAATATTTCTAAAAGCATATTTATTTAGTACGAACCTATTCATTTTATAGGATATAAATAGTATAGTTCTTAAAAAATGTATCATTACTTATCCAGCCTTTGAAATGTTATGTAGCATTATATAGGCGAGTTATTAGAAACTCAGGTATTATTTTCCTGTTATTTTGAAATATATATAAATGAATATCAGTCTACGCTTAAATCACAGCACCTGCTGCAATGAACACAGCTCTATATCAGACGTATCAGGATTTTCAGGCTCCTGCAAGTTTCGGGGTGTTGCTGATTTACATCGTGCTTTAAAAGGTCGAGTGAAAACAAAAGACGTACAGAAATGGTTTCAAACCAAGGATTCTTATACTTTGTACAAGTCTTTGAGGCATAAATTTCGCAGAAACAGTCATCAGTCATTTCAGTCTGATTTAGTGGATATGCAATCCCTCTTTTAATGATGGGTACAAGTATTTGTTGACCTGTATAGATATTCTTTTCAAATAAGCTTGAGTTATCCCTCTGTAATATACTTGGGGTATCTCTTTACTCTCCCTCTGCTTAGGCTAAGATAAAACCTCTGTGTCTATAAAATCTGTACAATCAAATCTTTACAAACAGATGCAGGGAAAGAGTTTACCAACAAACAAGTTCACAATTTTTTTTTTGAAAAAGAGAAACATTCACTTTTGCACGACACATAATGCAACTAAAAAGCTTCTGTTGTGGAACGATTTAATCTAACCCTTAAAACGAAAATGTGGAAATACTTTACCGAAGTGAACACACGAAGGTATTTTGGTATATCCAACTATAAGAATACATGGCATTAAGACCTTATCGGTTAAGGCCGGTTTACGCTTCTCCGAGTGACTTTGTCCGAGCGTCTCGAACCGAGTGAACGGACCTGTAATCTGATAGATTGTTTACATCAATCACAGCCGGACTGTCACCTCGCTTCTGTTTGTTTGCAAAATGGATAACCGACGTGTAAGTTGCTGTGCTTGAAGTTTGCAAAGCAGTTTCCAACGAATTAATTTATGTTCTAGGGGGGAAGAAAGAAGAAAAGGAAATCAAAACGTGACTGGGTAGCTCGACGTGATGAATTGGGAGCATTTAAATCACTTTTAAATGAACTTCGGGGTGAGGATATCCAAAGTTACAAAAATTTCATGAGAATGGGTGAAGGATAAATTGCAGCTTTATTGGAAACGATCACTCCCCTTATCCAGGGAAAAAAAAAAAAAATGTTCTTTCGAGCTGCTCAGTCAGCAAAATTAAAACGCAGATAGAGCTTTGTTTTCTGGAGAAGGATGACTCTACAATTCTCTCCAATATTTATTCCGAGTGCCAAAATGTACAATCAGCGTATTTATTCCAGAAGTGTTTGAGGCCATTTTCCGTGTATGAGGTTGAGCGAAAATCACTAATCTTTTGCTTGAATTCTCCAATACCCTCAAATTTTAACATGTTAATAATAGCCTCATACGCTTTCTGTCGGCGATTGTTTTTTTAATACTTCGGACTGATCGTTTTTAAATAAAATCTAATTTGTTGTTCAAATAGAAAAGAAAGTCTATAAATAAAATTTTAGTTTATATTTTATTAGGTGTAATTGGCCATTAATAAATACTGGTTTTTTGAAGTTCATATCAATAAAATCAAATCTTTGCCCTTTCAGTTATTTTATTGGGTAGTTGAATAACATATAATTTAATTGTTTTTGATTAAATTTTTTTCTTCAATATCAAAACCCTAAATTCATTCTTATCAGTAGTTATATCCACGTTATATTTAGGTAGTAGTAAACAATGGTCGTAATATTCAGGTAGTGAAGTATCTCATAATACTTTACAAGATGCATATGCATTAAAAATGCCATAGTTAGATAATCTTTCCATCTCGGCATTTTCGATATGACGGAAATGCCGAGAATATTGAGGAAAAATTGGGCACGAGGCCTGTGCGAACGCTGCTCGGAGTTACTACCCGGATAAAGAATTTCAACTGGTTCAAAGTAGAAACGGAATCGCTGACTCATCTCCCCTAAGTTTCTATTCGGGCGAAGTGAGCGTTTACATTGTCATGATAAGTTGTAGCGAGAGCCTCACTGCGGGTCGCTCGGACAGGTGTAAACTGGCCTTTACGTTACAAGATCAAGAAAAAATTTGGAAAACGTTGTAGGGTCAGCAATCAGCACAACCTGTTCCTTCAGATTAGAAGATTGGAAATACGGTACGCATGAATTAAAAAAAAAAAAAGCTCATTGAGAAAGGGATTTGTTTCACATGAAAATACAACACAAGAAAGAAACACTTTGCCTCTTTCGAACGTCATCTATTGTTCTATCACATAGTGGTGGCATCCTTTGAGAGCACGACTACGAGCCATAACTACTGACGCTCTAAGAGTGTAAAGGAGAATACCACGAAACTTAATCATGCAGCCAACCCGTTCAGGAATAAAGAACTACTATTGGCATTTAGCAGTTTTTAGAAGCTCGGCCATTAGTGGGGTCTGAATTTGGGATAAAATATTTAAAAAAAAATCTGAAAGATTTCAGATTTTAAAGGTCGCCTAAAAGGTTTTGTTAAGGTTTTTCTGCTCTCTCGCTAAGCTCGCAGTCTACCAGTGTATTGTTACACTCACTCCTGCTAACCGATTTTTTTTTTTTTTACTTTTTATGTTTACTAATAAGCAAAATTTTTTTCGCAATTACGCCATATACCATTCAATAGCAAAATTACGAAAATTTTAAGAGCAGTATACGTTTAGAAGTCCCAATGAAGCAAGATGTGTTGGCATACACTTCTTTTCTGTTGTTTTCAGTCTTTCTCAGTTCATCATATCAATGTTCAGTTTTCTTACTAAGATGGCTTTACAAAACCTTTTGATTTTGTCTTTTTATTATTAACGTTTTGTGTGTTTACTTCATTTATTAAATGTCCTGTTCTTGGCACTTAGGCCACGTAAAGTTCGATTCAACAGCAAAATCACAAAATACTTAAAAACAGCATATCTTTAGAATTTCTGATACACAGTCTTGCGCGCTGGAGATAAAAATATTTTTTCCCGTACCGTGTTATCATTGCTCGCTTTGAAATCGTTGAGTTTGTTAATAAAAAATTCGTTAAATTTTCACAAAATATGAAACAGATAATAAAACAAATCCGGGCTTGCATGTGCTCATGTTCGTGAGGAGGACCACGTTATTCAAAATTTGATGGCTCTGATTACCATTGATTTTTAAGACCTAGAAACATGCATACATTCATGCAGATTCATTATTGTTTAATTTATTTAAATATAATACAAGACGATAATATTTTGTGGCAACAATTTGAAAAGTGATATGCCGCTTAAAGTGATTCAGTGCAAAATGCCGTTTTGAGACTAATATCCCTTTGAAAGTTAGAAATAAGAACCGGGACTTAGATGGGGATAGGGCCTCTGGCCCAGGCACCCGTAGAAATGAAACGTGAAATTAATTCACAGACATGACTATTAATATCTATATAATGTTTATAAATGTATTATTAGTATTATCCATATTATGTCTATATCTATATAATATATAGATATTTTAATGTCTACTTAAGCGGCCAGGAATACGTTTACAACTAAACGATTAATATGTCACTCACTCATCATGCTGCCAGGTACCTGTATATCTTTATAAAGATCTTATAAGATTGATCCAAATTTCCCCCCATTAAAAAAATCAACCTTTAGTTATTTATTAAAATATAATTTTTTTTCTTTTAAGCGATCTAATACATAAAAACTCCGTTCCTTTTTTTTATCAAAAAAGTTAAGCTTTTTTCATTTAAAAGATCATAATTCGTATAATTGACGCATCCATTTAAATGAGCCAAATACTATGGTTTTGATAATGTCAGAATTATCCAAAAACAATAGTACATATTTGCGTGACATAAATCAAGTATTGATATCATTTGTAACATAAACGTTAAGTATTTAATAATAATAATATTCATCTGCTAACACAAAATTGAAAATCAGGGAATTTACATCTGAGAGGAGAATTTTCAGTTTTTAAAAGACAAAATGTTAAAACTCACCGCCAGTCCCGCTTGACACAAGAGATAGGATACGGTCTGCGTAACATCAGCTGCGTGCATGTTGTTGTGGTATGGGTTTCTGAACTTCTCGTAACCGATTTCGATCTGGATGAGGAAACCCTCCAAAGCTGCCGTAGAGATCTGAGAGAATACAAAGTTTAAATACAAAGTTACTATTACAAAATACATTCTTTTCGTTATTTTAAATATAGGAACACGATGTTAATACAAAAAATCTTCTGTTCCAACGCTGTTTGATAAAAATTACATGCCAGTTGGTAAAACCATATATAACGCAGTCATAGAATAATGGCATCTTTAGGGAGGGGACGGCAAAGTCTAATCATTATCAAAGAAATCATACTATCTAACGAGCTATAGCTCAGCCTTACGTGCGCTTAATGTTTTCCCATAGAGATGCGTATGTAACTAAATTAAGAAATGATAAATAAAACAAAATTAATCAAATCTTCAGGCTAATTTAAAAATACGATTAAATATCCACTCCGTTGAAATCAGATAAATTGCATCACTAATTTCTGCTCTTGACAAAATGGATAAGGCCACCCAATAATTCTTTTGAATTTTCAATCAATTTACATTTTTACTTCCTTGTACGAAGTTAAAAGGAAGTATTGTAATCGCGAAAAGTTGACTGATATCGAATGCAATTTAACGATGTTTTTGCGTGATATCTGTACGTAAAGACAGAATAAAATACTGTTTTCCTCCAAAAAATTATAAAACTGCTTTAAAAATGAATTCTAAGAGAATTTTCCGTGGCGTCTGTACGAACGTATGTACGTACGTACGTATCTCGTATAACTCAAAAACGAGTAGCCTCAGAACGTTGCAATTTTGTATATAGGACTACTATAACATGTAGATGTGCACCTCGTATTTTGGTTGCAATCGGCCGCGCCAAACGTATATAAATATATTTATATATATATCCACTCTGTTACCCGGCTCAGTGATCTCAGTTTCTTTACTCTTATATGTGTAAATTGTAAATTTTTTGCTTTAAAAATGATTGAATTATGTTGTTCTTATCTTCCGGTTAGGGTTTTATGCCTTTAGTAAATCTGAATGCAATATGTTTAGAATTATCAACAATTTTAAAGTTGTTTAAGTGCCGCTAAAGCTAATAATTTTTTTGATGGCGGTCATTGCTTGTTTACATTTGAAACAGCAGAATAGTGGATTTGTTGCCAATCTAGGGAAACTTAGCTTCGCAACAACAAAGATAACGCCTTCATTTATCATTGCCAATTAAATCATGCTTAATCCTTTCTGGAATTTCGAGGAAATAAGTGTTTAAGATTTACTTCGTAATTTTTAATACAAATATTTTGAGTTTTTATGTATTTTTGCCTTCTCGCGAAGTGAGAACTGAATTAATTGAATGAGGAATACTCAATCGTCTGTGAAAAACGGTTTCTTTTTTGTTTTGTTTGCTTAATTTCTTTTATACATCGTTCTAGCTTTATTATAGTATTTGAATAGAACATGTGGCAACGATTAGATAATTCTTTAAATGATATAAATTTTGTGCATTCTGAGTTATAATATGAACGAAATATAATACCGTTAAGTGAACCTAGCTCCAGAGTGTCGCTATGGTAAACAAATAGAGTGAAATTTAAACAATGCATTTATTCTATTGTGGTTTATGCGCTGTCGGTGAAGTAGATTTAATTCAATTCAATAAATTTAAATGAAATATAAGAAAAAATGCGTATAATTTAATATTTCGTACAAGGAAGTCATGTGGTGTACACATCAGGTTTTTTACTTTTTCATTTGCATTCTATATTTTGACTAATTTCATAAATATTGCTCAAAGAGTGAAAACATTTAGGTGCTTTATTGCTTTATAAATAATTTATATTCCTACTTGTTATTTGTACGACTATTTGAATCTTATTATTTGCTTTATATTAAAGTCATTACCACATCCAGCAATATTCTTTTTTACTGTTTGGGTACTTAATGATTTACAGATTTTGGCACTAGGATAACAACACTATTTAGTAATCATCCATATTTTATTTACATACTACTACATATACATGCCAAAATATGAAGCACATCTTATCCTTACTTGATCTATAACTACAATCTTTACTTGATTGTAGTTATAGATTAAGCTTACATATTCTTACTTGAGCTATACTTGAAATCTACGCTTACAGTTTTTTTCCTCTAAATAGTCTTATGTAAAGAAAAGTGTAATAATATGAATAAAATGAAACATATATATATATATAAATTATTTTTTTATTTATTATTATCTTCTAGGAAAGAAAATATAAGACTCTTGTAAATTGAAATTATAAAATTTTAATACTTAAGAGGACTGACTATATTAAAACTATTAAAAACTTGAAATGAGTTTAAAAGAAGTTAAAAAATCTGTTATGGTATGCATTAAAATCACACATTTTAAAATGGAAAAAGAATAGCACATAAATAAAAATAAGATAAAACAGTATATAAAAAAATCAAGTACACTCATGTCCATAAATTAAGGATAATTCGGAGTCACGCGGAAATCGAACTCTAAAATAAATATATCACCTGAAAAATTACTAGACACATCTTCAAGAATCCTATGGAAATTTCAGGAAGTAACCAGATGACACCGATGGTACGTCACAATGACGAGAGTGTAAGAGAGTGATATATAACGAATACAGGCAAAGAAGTAAAATTGTTCGCAGACGCCTTATAAGCATTTCAGTGCAATAACCGAATAGTTATGACACAAAGGACGCATTTTGAAAACTTTTACGTGGTAGAATTATCGGCCGTCTGGAATGTGGTCGTACACAACTGGAAGTATCAGATGGACTTGGTATTGCCCAGAGTGTCATCACCAGGCTTTGGCAACGATTTCAAGATGATGGTAATGTGAGTAGAAGTTATAGCACAGGTCGCCCCAGAGTTACAACGCCGAATGAGGACTGGTATTTGGCAGTTACTGCCAAAAGAAACAGGCGGAGCACAGCCTCAGACCTGTCTCGTCAGCTCTCTTCAGCCACTGGTACGACAATTTCAAGGCAGACCGTGTACAGACGCTTAAGGCAGATTGGTCTATATGCTCGTAGACCTGTCAGATACTGCAACTCACTGTCGCCTGCGGTTAGCTTAGATTAGAGAGCATGCATTGTAAGCATGACACGGCAACAGTGGGCATGTGTGATGTTTTCCGACGAGTCCAGGTTTAGCCGCTGTCTGATTCTCGCCGGACTTTCATATGGAGAGCTCCAGGTACCCGTTACCACCAAAAAAACATTATTGAACGACACTGTTACGGTGGTGCAGGACTGCTCGTTTGCTCGTTTGGGGTGGAATTATTCTGGGTTCAAATTGGAACCATGACAAGCCAAATCTATCGGGACGTCATTCTGGAACAACATGTACGTTTGTTTCGGGGCGCCATGGGTGCACAATTTGTGTTTATGGATGACAACGCCCGTCCTCACCGTGCAAACATCGTAAGCGAATGCCTTCAATCGGAGGATATCACCCGTATGGACTGGCCAGCATTCTCACCGGACTTGAATCCAGTAGAGCACGTGTGGGACATGCTTGGCCGACGAGTTGCAGCCCGTCAACCTCCTCCTACATGTCTACCGGAACTTCGGAAAGCATTGCTTTTTGAGTGGTGTAATATCCCCCAAGATCAGATCGATAATTTGATACTCAGCATGCCTAGACGTTGCACGGACTGTATTGCATCGTCTGGGATACATACAATGTATTAACAATCATACCAACCATGTAATATTGTTTTTTTGTAAATAGGTTTTTTTTTTGTAATTTGCTCCAGGGAGAAAAAATCGCTAATTTTTTTAATAATATCAAACATATAGCATCTTTTTTTGCTCTTTACCTTTTGTTTAATAAATAAGCTTTACAAATAAGTCAAATTTGTTTTGCTTCTAACTCTTCCTTTGCCTGATTCTGCATTATCCTTAATTTATGGACATGAGTGTAAATTATTGCCGATTTTCCGGAAGAGAGTTGACATGTCAAGGGGAATTAACCCTCCCCCAAAAAATCCTTAATAATAATGGTAGGATCGTATTTCATCTCTTTCGTATGCTTGAATGTATTCTTTTAATCATAAAAGCAAAATACATAAGACTTATATTTAAGTGAATAATCAACTAACTTTCAAAAATAAAGGTAATTAATTCCCCGACTCGATCAAAAAAGAATATATTTTAAAAAGAGATTGTTATAAAAAGTGCTGTGAAATTTAGAAGTATTCATTCCATAAAAACCAATGTATAGATATTATACAGTTTAAACTATTATATAATTATAATGTCTTAACTACATGCATATACAAAAATATAGATAAAAAAATGCAATTTTAATCCTCACTTAAATTTTAAATTCCAAAGCTGCTATTATGAAGCTTTGAATGGAAAAGGTTGTTCGCTGGAACAGACCCTTGACGAAAGCTTTTAGCTTTACCATTAAAAATTGATGGGAGAGAGTGTTAAAACTGCATACATAGATAGGAAAGGCGATAAAGGAATTCAAATGAAACCCACTGACTGACTGTAGACCATGAAAAATTAAATGCTAAGTGTGAGGGTGATAGGCGAGACCTTTAATCTCCCTTTTGGCTGTTATGTAGTAAATTGCTTTGTATTTAAACAAATAAATCAAAATTTTTAGAAAATATATACTCTGGAAGTCAATGAATAGAAAATAGTAAGAATAACAGTCAGAAATCTTTACCTAGAGCTAGAAATATTTGGATCTTTAGAAACTAAAGAGCCTTTTACTTATAAAATGACAGCAGCCAGAGCAGGGCGTTTTTTTTTTAAACTGACGGTACTCAGAGACCTCTGTAGCTAGAACTATCAGCCGCAAAGGCCACGTAATTTTGTTCGAGGACTATTGACAACACGGGAAAAAGGAATCCGTTTTTTTAATGGCCACCATTAAAAAAAGGCTTAGCGGCAATTAAACAAACTTTAAAATTGCTGATAATTCTAAAAATATTGCACACAGATTTACTAAAGGTATAAAATCCTTAACTGGAAGATAAAAACAACATAATTCAATCATTTTTAAAGCAAAAAATGTACAATTTACAAACATATAAGAGTAAAGAAACTGAGATCGCTGAGCCGGGTAACAGAGTGGATATATATAAAAATATATTTATATACGTTTGGTGCGGCCGATTGCAACCAAAATACGAGGTGCACATCTACATGTTATAGCAGTCCTATATACAAATTTTCAACGTTCTGAGGCTACTCGTTTTTGAGTTATGCGAGATACTTACGTACGCACGTACGTACATACGTTCGTACAGACGCCACGAAAAATTCTCTTCAGAATTAATTTTAAAGCAGTTTTATAATTTTTTTGAAGGAAAAGAGTATTTTATTCTGTCCTTACGTACAGATATCACGGAAAAACATCGTAAATTGCATTCGATGGCGTTAAAAATGGATATTTTCGTTGAAATATGCTGCCTGAAACTTTTCGCGATTACAATACTTCCTTTTTATTTCGTACAAGGAAGTAAAAAAGAGAACATTCTATTTGATTTCTTTTTATTCTTTGTTCTTTTGTTTTTATTCAGTAGAATTGCTTTACCGAAGACATCGGCTATTTTCAATATGACCTCCATTTTCCTGGACTAAGCATTGCATTCTGTTCACCGTACTCACTACAGCTGAATGGAACTCAAGAAAAAATAGCTGGGTCCTAAGTGTTGAAGCACTGTATTTGGTAGTGGGGAGTGATGTTCTTCAGTCATCATAGTTACCTGTACATGACTTTTATGTAATTTCAGTAAATCCGAAGTTGTAATAGTGTTTAACGTAAATAAACTGCTAGACACAGCTCATTTGTTATTGTTTGGCTTAACATTATAAATACTAGTTTTAATACTTTTTATTTATTTGTATTACTCTGTTATTTTTGCTTTGCTAATTATTTAAAATATGACTGTTCTCATACATTTATTGAATTACTGTACTTTTGTTTCTCTTGCTTTAGCTAAAAAATTGTGTACAAGAATTAAATGTGCATTATATAACAGTTTTCTTTTTTAAAGATTTTATCACAGTAAATACGAATTACGTACCAAACTGTCGTCTTTTTATGACAGGTGCAATTTGTTTATGGAAGGAGAAATATCTTCTAACGCGTAGAACATAAAAATGATTGCATTTTTTTGCCCCACTCTGTGGAAATGTTAATCTTTTTAAGTCCATGCCTTATTTTATCTGATAATTATATGTTTGTAAGGAGGGAGCTAATCTTTCTCTGCTGCCGCTTTTATGTTAATTTTTTTTCAAAGGTGCCAAAGACATTAAGACCAAATAATTTTAAATTATGAAAATAAAAACAAAGTGATCAACGGAAAAACTCGCGAATTGCTCCTATGATTAACTAAATTATTCAAGCAGTAAAATAAATGATGTGTGCAATACGTTTTTATTTTCAATTAGTGCCGAGTAAATGGCCACAGAATTCACATTTCATAAAGAAAGCTAATATCGCAATTATTTTTAGTGTTTCTTTCTCTTTATCGTAATATACATATTAAATCAGATAACTTCTGAAAATAAATAATGCAAAGTTATATGCTATATTTTTTTATTTACCATACAAATCAATAGCCATATCTGAACCACTGGGTCCAAAAAGCAGTATTCGTTTCCTTTTTTAAGTCATTTTTCCCCAAGAAATTATTTTGTTTGCTCATTATTTCATTCGTTCGATGTATTTTCATTATTTTAAAGTGAAATTGGTGTTTTGCTGGTAAAGCAAACTAAATGTTTGCTTTCCTTTGCTTCTATTTATTTTATTTTATTCTGTCATATATTTTCGGCCCATTTGTCTTTAGAAAGTCTTTTACCCTTTTTTTCTGCTTATTTATTTAGAATTTTAATATAGTATGTTTTATAATTAACAGAGTATTTCCTTAAATAGTGTGTGTGTGTTTAGATTCCATCCGTCCTAAGGGTAAAGGTGTTTGCAAGATATGTCTCATGGCATTTAACGTAAATTGAGGGGATTTTAACACTAGAGTATACTTATCCACTAGAGTATACTATATCCTATAACACTAGAGTATACTATATCCAAATTAACATAATTTAAGTCACCTGTTTTGGAAACATGAAGAAGTATTTAAGTAATTTGGTAATTCATTTTGTATTGCTCATTTGTATGCAATTTATTGCAATTGCCAATTTATTTATTTGTTCAGAATGTTGGGAAAGTAACTAATTAAATATTGGATTTTTTTTCTTTTAAATGTTTCTCAAGTTTTTTCCATAATCTTTTACGCTCGCTTAATTTTATAACGATACATGAAAATATACCACATTCTGTTGATCAAATAGACCTAAAATATATTAAAGTGTATAAATTTTTATTTTTCATGTGTTCTTTACTGTTTTGTGACAAAGACTTTTTAATTGCCTATTAAAAACATCCAATCATACTTTGGTTTTGTAATGCAATAAAAGCGCTTTATATGATTAGATAATGAGAAATTTTTTCCCTTTCTGTCATTTTAACAGCAAAGCAAGGTTTCATTGGGAATGTAAAGTATTTAATAGTTATACATTTGATATGATCGTATAGATGTATACACCTTGTCCACAAAAAACCTTACCCACCATTTACGAAGTCGAACAATTTATACGCTTTCTTACTTCATATATTTAAAAAAAATTACACTCATTATAAAAAACAGAATATAAAAAATGTGAAAACCGTACAAAGACATTGACCGAGATATTTAATTTTGAAGCCGGATATCATATTTAGGGACCGTATACAAACTGAAGCGCAAAATGTTTATATTTGCACGCAATTAAAACCAAAATATGAGTTTATAAAAAGTTTTTGAGGGTAATAGATTAAATGATGAGCGTTTCTATTCAAATGGTCGTTAAAAGTATTGATTAATATAATTTATTTCAAAAACAAGATCTTATTCACAGAGTCCTATAGAATTCGTATTCCAGAAAACACTGGCAGGCCTCACTAATGGCGCATAGACAAATTAGTTAAAAACTGAAAATATTTCTAGTGCAAGAATTTTTTTGTATGATTATTGGATCATAATTAAAATGATAAAACTTCGTGACAATATTAATAACGCATTTTTGGCGTCTACAAACATAAATTACTGAAATGGCATTTTTTATTACAAATTAAAGAATGTTACACACTAGCAAATCACAAAAGCATATATTTAAGAGGGGCAATTCAACTCCAAATTAACATAATTTATTGATTAATTAACAAGGCAAATAGCAAAGGACATCATATATCACAAATTGTGAAATTAATTAATCGCACATTAATTTCTTCTAGAAAGAATCTTTACTATGTAAGAATAGTGCTGAATTCTACTCACTTTGAACTTCTGTATGAGACCGAACCTGTTCAGGAGATAGTGACCCATGTATCTCAAACATTGTCCAGAAGCAACGGTATTGAGGGCAAACACGTCGAATGACCAGTCTTCGCTATTCTGAAACACATACAACACACTCGATATTAAATAAAAGCACAATTTTCTTACAGAAACTAAACAAAGCACATTTTTCGTATACAGCAATAATTCTCAATCTTTTTAAAGCTGCCGCCCCCCTAAGGAGCGAAAAAATTTTCAACGCCCCTATGTAAAATTCCTGTAATTTAGGGTATGGGAAAGGGAGGTTTCTGAATTATAAAAGGCAAAAATTTAAAGCAATTTTTTCCAGTAGACTTACTCACCAAATTTGTTTAACTCGATAGTTTTGCCCTGGAAGGTAATTTACATTCCTTTGTTTAAAACTGAAATGACTAATAGAAAAAATAAATAAAAAATTAAAAAAAACCTTAAAAGCTTTTTCATATTTAAAAACTTTTTTATTCTTAATTAAATAATTAAAAAAAGAACAGCAAAAAATACACTGAAAGAGTAATATCAATGAAAAAATGAAGTAAGATTACTGGGATGTTTATGTTTGGAGCCAGTTCCTGAATATTTAGTTCAATATCTCAGAAATTCGGTTCAATCGCAGAAAAACCGTTGTATCGAATGCTTCAAAGTCATCCTAACTAGAATATAAATTCGTCTCACCATTCTTAGGAGCAGTCGATTAAGTTCGCTTTATAACTGCTACAAATGGTGTAAACTGGATAGTCGATTTAGTAAATTGTTAGGGAGTTTTAAAATTAAGTTCGAATGCCAAAACATGCTCATCGCCTCCTACTGCCCAGAACATGCCCATCTTCCGCCTAAAACAAGTTCACCGCCCCTCGACATCTTCTTACTGACCCTCGGAAGGGGCGGTATCGGCCACGTTGAGAACCAATGGTATACATCATTAAAGGAAACAAATTCATTCACATGAAACTAAATAAAAAAGTTTTTAATGCACAAGAATTAAACAAAAGAAATTTATTATAAATGTACAAAATATTTCTAATTTTGTACCAAATAAAATCAGAATCCAAACACATAGGTATTTCGCGCAAAAACGAATATTTCGGTCACAGCATGATTCTGAGGAATATAACATTTATGACATTTCAAGACTTCGTTTTCAGTACTTGACATTATAATGATTAATGTACGCTGATTAAAAAATTTTCGCAGTAGAAGTAAGTCCATCTAATCCACTTCAGTGTTATTCAAGAAACACGAACTTAGATAGTTTTCCACTTTATTTGTTGTGGTGGTGATATTTAGTTATATGTGAGTTTCTCTAAAAGGATTTATAATTATTCCATATACCTGATGTTATTTTTTCCCATTTTGTTGAAAATAGCACAAAGAAATCGCACATATCACATACAAGATGAGAAGATGAGGGCAAAGATTAAAAGGTTTCAGCAGCCTAACTGATGATCAGAATACGATAACGTTTAAATCAACCTGATTTTGCTATTTTTTAAGTAATTCTGACTCATAATAAGCTTAGCAAGCAGAAGTTCGTTGAATGTTAAGAAATAGAGAACAAGAGTAATGACAAAGAGAGAAAAAGCATTTGCTGAGATTTATTATGAATGCGTGTTTACATCAGTATCTTTTACAGTTTTTAAAAGCTTCACTGATCGACGAAATTCAAATATTTACTTCATTTATTCCCTTCAAAGATAAACCTTTTTCACCTGAAACCGGCCTTAGAAATATTTCTTCCCCCCCTTTCACCAGCAGTCAAGACCCTATTTAGAAAACCGCCCGCTCGCCTCCCTACCCAGGACAAAAATTTCTTTTGCGTTCCCTAGTCTCTTATCTGAAAACTAACAAAGACGATCTCCTAAAACCACGCTTTTAAATGAGGAGTAGTTTCATTGCAGTACCAGCTGAAGGAGGACAGAAGTGCATTCTTATTTACCGTCTTTGAGAACCTACCTTTGTGCAATCTTGATACAACCCCACCGAGGACAGAGCGTGACCAGTGAAGCTACCGATCATCTCTTCCCATTTTGCTGAATTCTAGGAGGTTGGAAAACACGAAGTCACGAGCGTCTATCGGGGTAACGATACAGACCACATTTGACCCCGACAAGTGTGTGACGTTGCTAACGCCTGGCGACAATTTTCAGATCGATGGGCCTCCTTCGAGGGAAACAGGGAAGTTGTTAACGCGTGACTTTTAAATGGGCTCAAATAGCCACAGACAGTTCAGTTAATACAATACGGAAGCTCACGAATTCCTATTCAAAAATTGCTCTTTTTCAACACCTCTGTATTTGGTCAGTAATCTTTGTGTTTATCTTTGTATATGTATCGTATAAGTATAATAATGTTGTTGGCTGCTAATACTTCATTCCAAGGAGTATATCAAACAACTTTGAAAAGGACTTAGGAAATAATTCTAGTCAGAAAACCGATGTATAATTAAATTTGTGTCAAAGGATACTGCAAAAATGTTTTGCTTTGTCCTAAGAAAGTTTATAAAAAATTAAATACGTTTCTCTCGTGTACAGTTGGGGTATGATAGCCATTATATCAAACGAGACACTGAAGTACTCGGACAGAATTTCCGTTCCACAACCGATTTTCAAATTTTCAAAATTTCCCGCTGCAAAATAAAATCCAGCCTCAAGAATCATTAACATTTTCCCTTTCCAATGCCCAGAGTGGATAAACCTTTTTTTTATCTAGCCTGGTTAGCCATAATATATGCTTTTCCATAATTAATGAGACAGACCTTAATAAAAAATTGCCGCAATATTTTCCTTTTGCTTAAACTATCTTTCGGTTATTATTCATAAGTTTTAGTTTATACAAAAAGTGTTTATTGGACTACGGATTTATAGGCTAATAATGAATTGAAAACCATAAACAACATCCGAAATACACTACACAGAAGATGATAATTTTTATGACATCACTAACAGACTAGGTATCTAAATAAGAAATATTTATTTTGCTCTTAATTAACTCATTCTTGATTTTGAGAGAGAACCTACGAAAAGCAGAATATCAAGTTAAAACTTCTTAAACAGAAAATCTGTTATCTTAGATTTAGTCTCTTCCCCTTCCAGTGCACACTGACAAATAAATGGCTTTTGAAGTATTATCTCTGATTACGCATTATTTTAAATGAGCTATCAGATACAGAATTCAGAAATTCCAACATGATATCGATTGATTCAATCAATTACCATTCGCTTTGGTTAACCCAATTCAGGTGTTTGAACAGAGCCCGCGATAAGCTATCCGAAAACTATCTATGGTCGGAAATTAATTGGAGTTACTACGACAGTTACTCGTACATTTCACTGCAGTGAATAATCAATAAGCATTTCTCGAAGGTATGACAAATATTGGTAAAGACTTACCTTAAGTATCTGGGCAATTTGTGCCGGCATCTGTAGATTACTGGAACTGGAACACCGCCGGTAGATCCTGCAATGTATTGAAAGCTTAGAGATTTTCTTATAGTATATAAATTTTAAAACTCTTGCTGCAACGCTGCTGCATTTTTGGAAGGCATATTTACTTTCAAAATATAATTTATACTTAATATATTTGAAGCACCATTAATGGTAAACCGGTTTTACTATTATATTATTGAAATATTGATTGTATCAAGTAACGCTAAGAAACTTAATGGGGGAAAAGAACTTTCGTAATTATTATCGCGAGTTTTAATGGATTGCTTCACATTCTGAAAATATTGATATTGCGTTTATTAGAGCTTAAACGGAAAATATATTGCAAATTAATTATATTTCAAAGCACAATTTTGAATCTTGAAATTATTTTTTACAACTTCGAATACTCAAAAATAAATATAATGCTAGAGTAAGTCATAATAATCTGTGATGTTACTTTAAATTATGGATATCTTTATGAGCATAAAACTATCCAATGTCAGTATAGATATTTTCACTAACATCCGATATTTCCTGAAATATTTTCACAAGATCATTAGCGTAAATTATAGAATAAGAATTCTGGTGCATACCTCGAAATCATCCTGCGAAACTTTGCCTTTCTTATCGGCAATAAAATTAGTGCCCTATCTGCAGTCTATGAGAGTGCATCTTCTGATCTAATCATAATTATTTAGGAAGTCTCGCAAAGCGTGGATTTCGTATTAGCTTTACTAACAACAAATAACCTGATGAAAACGACATCGCTGGTCTTAAAAGACATAAATTCAAATTACTGAATAAAATGTAATAATCTGTGAGGGAAATACCTAAAACGTATTTTTAATAATTTTAAAGATTTCAAGCCGTGTGTAAAATAATTACTAAAACTGTTGCTTGTTCTTCTCCCAGAAATTTATTGTAGGTAAGCAGATAATCGATGTCGAGCACTGACCAATATAATAAAGGATTCAAATAAATGTCTGTTTCTCAAGCTTGTTCTTGAAAGCACTTCAGTAATAAAAGAGCGCAACCCGTTATTTATAAGGCAATGCAAAATGTCCCCCACTGTACTCCCTGTTGTACACCAACAAAGGTAAAGTTTCGTTCCTAGACTGTCGATTTGGTTTGGTTTATTTAAATTATGGCAAAGCATTCGAGGGCAGATAGCCCTCGAAGGAGTACCTTCATGAAGGATTTTTCTTCTAAGGGATCTAAGGGAAACTGGCATTTACACATGTTACGCATGTGTAAAACCACGAAAGTGCTCATGCAGCCATATGTTATCTTGGATTCGAACCCCGGACCGAAATAATAGTGTTCGGCGACTTTACCGCTCGAACCTGGTGAGTCCCTAGTTTGTTGAACTACAGTCATCGCGAAATCCATTTAGGCTCAGTTGAAATTGCACCAGCACAAACCTCCACATAAGAGCAGATCACTCAACTTTGGTCATTAATTTACTTTATCAGTGCGAGAACAATCACTATAAGCGACATGTTGGCATCACGTGAAAACCACGGATTTAAAAAATTACTGTTTTGAGAAAACAGCCACTAAAATGGAATCTCTGGAAAAAACTTCGAGAAAAATCATCTTTCAGCTCAACCACAATTGTTTCATATACATCATTATTTTGCGGGTCAGCGAAAAACAATCATAAAAATGAGTGTAACGACCACCAAAACGGTACGTAAACATAAATTTTAAAAGAATTTTTTTTTTCTAGTTCATATATTGCAGCAAAATAGACAAAACATTCGAGGTCTAACTACAATGAACTATGAAAACTGCAAACCCAAAACTTTCTATAATAATAGAAAAAAAAAATAACAGTAAACAAATTAAACAATACAGACTTTCGTGTTCCTACGATCTTATACTGAAAAAGGAGACCGTATGTATTTCATTGATACGCGATTTTATTTGTGACAAAGGTAGCTTATGTTTAGCGAGACAGTGGATAATGTTTTCACTCAGAACATGAAAGCTTTTGTTCCAAGTGTGATAATCTTTCATCAGCATAATTTTTTTAACTTTTCATTGGCACACTGAAATCATTCTGATCTCATTCTCAAAAGTCAATATGAAATTTATGTAATAAACTTGAAAAGCATGCTAAATACATCATTAGTAACAAAAATACTGCTTTTATTAGAAATTTGTATAAATTTTTCAATCCTTGTTTATATATGTGAAATACTGCTAGCAATAAAATACTTAAGTCGCACTGAAACACACAAAGAATTTTATAATTATAAACAAGTTCACAAGTAGAACCAGTGGAGACTGAGTGATAACCAAAGAAAGACTCAAAGTTTGTCTTTCAGCTGGTTTTTGTAAGAAAGAACTTCTAAAATTTTGGATATAGGAAACTTTTCGCTTTTTGGATATAGGAAAATTTTAGTTTTCAAGGAAACTGATGAGGAAAATAATTCGATTTGGAGACTTTATACTAAGTGGGGTGGAAACTTCTTCTTCCACACCACTTAGTACAAAGTCTCCAAATCGAATTATTTTCTTCGGTTCTTTTCAAGATGTATTTTGTGCAAATTTTAAGCAAGACTTTACAATTTTGCTTTCTTTCATTATACGGTTAATTATTAATTTTATCTTCTAATGAAATTAGGTACACTGCGCGAAAAAAAAAAGAGGGGGACAGTTTTATATCTCCTGTTCTACTGGGCGGATTGACGAAATTCAAATTTCGTTTTTCATGACTCGAAAGCGCGACTTAGGATATACAATAGATTTATATATAGCATTGTTCTAACATAGGTATTTTGACACAAAATCGGACTTATTCTGAAATAACATACCAATTATTTTCCATATTTCAGGTTCAGGTGGAAATGTAGTGGGACACCCAATGTTTACTATAAGTAATGTAGGTATAGTCCCACTACACTTCGGTTTATTTTTAAAGTTAATATTAAAAAAAATACATAGTATAATATAACACAATAATATAACAGTATAAATAGTAATATTCGCTTTTCGATTGATATCATATCTATTAGATATAGAAGTTTATATAGGTATAATAATATAGGCTAACAGTCATAATTTTTAACAGTTCATAATAGTTCCTTGAGATAAAGTATATTTTATGATTGAATTTTTTTTCTTTTTGTATCTTCTTTCCTTTTTTTTTTAACTATATCAGTATTATTGCAAGGGTTTGTTTTTTTTTTTTAAGATAATTTGATAATAAATGTTTTAGATGAATTGCAGCTTCAAAAATGAGTTTTGACATATTAATTACTTTAGTGCTCACAATAAACTTTTGCCTATTGAAGATAGATATTTGATTGTATTTTCTATTTTATTTTTTAAATGTTTGTTGGTAATTGCAAAACGAAGGAAGGCATTGATATTTGAATTAGGCAATTTAATATGAGTTGACTTTGTTAAGGGACATTGAGTAATATAATGGATTGGATCACCTTTATCCATTATATTACTCAATGTCCCTTAACAAAGTCAACTCATATCAAGAAATTCAAAATTCTTGATATGAGTTGATATGAACTTTTTAATACATGGCAACCAATTTTCCTTTTCTTTCCATTATGCCGGAGCGGAAAAAAAGGTACCTCGTTCCTATCTTTTTACATTGTGCATTACCGGAAAAAAGTCACATCATTCTAACTTTCAAATAATTTTAGCAAAGTACCTAAACCACATTTGATGTGTGATCACTTTCAACACACTTTCAATCACAAAATTCACTTCAAACAAATTTATCCAAAATCCAAATTTCAAAACAAAACGCGCCCATATAAATTCAGGTATATCTTCGGATATTTTGAATCAAAAATTGTAATTTTTTGCAGGTATGCTTAGAAATACGTCTACTTTAAGATGATGGTAAAAATTTTATAGCTTACAATTCAAAATGTTTTTTTTAAATTTATAAAAATTATTTCAAAAATACAAATTTTAAAAATAAATCATAAAAAATGGGTGAATTATATTTGGAATGAACCAGAATTTTGAAATGTGAAAGAAAGAATCAAACAAGTTTAATAAAAAAGAGAGATTAATAAATATATACCAAACTCAATTAACGTTGAGGATGTAAAATTTTGAGAGCTAATTTGGTAGGTTTTCGTAATTTGAGTCGTAGAATCGAAATATGGAAAACAATTGGATATCATTTAAAAAAAGTATAATTTTGTGTCAAAATACCTATATTAGAACAATGTTATATATAAATCTAATACATATCCTAAATCGCGCTTTCGAGACATGAAAAACGCACGTTGAATTTCGTCAATCGGTCCAGTAGAACAGGAGATATAGAACTGTCCCCCCCCCTTTTTTTTTTTTTTTTTTTTTTTTTTTTTTTTTTTTTTTGTTTTTGTTTTGCGCAGTGTACGTCCAACTGAGTTTCTTTGCATGTTTCAGCAAAGGAATATAGTTAATTTTTAAAGAAAATATTTTTCAATTTTGTTCCAGTATTAGATAATGAAAAATACGATTCTTCTATTTTAGTATACATCTTTGATGAAATCAGCCATAAAACGTTCTCATAGGCATTTGCTTTTTCAGTCGTTATGTAATATATGTCGGCACATGCTATCAAAAGTATTTGTATTTGTACTTCCTACTGTGTACCATGTTATTAAGTGTGAAAAAATGTTAGAATCTTGAAATGATGATAAAAATTAAATCACTGAGCAGTCATCTAAAAAATGTCAGTGTATTATTAGATGGAATTAAACTCAACTTAAACAATTTAAAAATAAAGCAGATAATCAACCTATATGAATTATGAAATGTGCTCACAAACGGTACACTGGCACCAAACTGATCTCAGACAAAAATAGTCTCTCGATTACAAAATTAAATGCTGTCATTTTTAATTAATTATCATGTAGGACGATGGTTAAAAGCTAGCTTAGTTTACAGATAGTAGAATTTTTCTCAAAACGATAATTAAATAAACATTTCATACCTTAACGTATAAAATTTTGAACAGGTGTTTGAAAATTTATTATTTTATATCACTTTCCAGTACACAATATTAAACAGTTCTAACTACATTTTAAACTTATTTAAGAAGAAACGACAAAATAAAAGTTGTTTTGGTGATTAATATTTCCGTATCGAATAAAAGAGAGTATGTTAAATTTAGAGCTGGCTTCATGAAATTAGTAAACATGCACTCTATGTACTTAAATATATGGGACGTTTTAATTCATGAAAACGTGATGAAAAATTTACTCTCCGCTCTATGAGAACAACATGAAAATTTATTTACAAGACCTTTTACATTCAGTATAGACACTGTTTTCGTAAGATTCTTGGCCTTATTTTAAGAAATTTTATAATTAAAAATATAAGTCTAAAATCAATATTAAACGAAATAACCATTACAGCCATCTTTTCGAAATTCTGAGAAGATGGAGATTATCCAGTGGATGATGCAGATGTTGAAATAAAAACGCTTCTTTATCATTTTTCATTTGCTGTTTGGAATTTTGATGAAGGATGTGTATTCAAATACAAAAGAAAGCAAATAAAATGAAAGTCTTTTAAAGTAAAAAATCTTGCAAATATTTCCTGACGTCGGATGACATAAAAGTTTTAGCTTTTCAAGTTCCTTTGATGATTTAAAAAGCTAATTTAAATTATCCAATAAAAGTTATCTATCACATGAGAAAGAATAAAAAGAGAAAATGAAAAGCGTATTCGAAGCATCGGATATCCTTTGAAGTCAATGAAGTCATTTAACCGGTGCTAGAAAAGGAACTAAAATTTGCATCTGCGCATTTTTCTTAATGCTGGAAGTATTTAGTGATAAAATGAAAGCCAACTTTCGGATCTGTTTAATGTATATTAATATCAGGACTTAGTTTCTGTAAGTGGGGAAAATTGGTTTTGCACTCTGCTAATAAAATGATGAATTAAGACTCTTCATAAATGAAATTCAAATTCTTTTTTAACATTTATGATCTCATTTAATAATGTGGATACTACGTGTAGCACTCTTTGATAATGAAATTATAAATGAAATCTAACTCCCTCTTTTTCTTTTATATCACGCATATTTAAATACAGGAACATTTTCTTAAGCCTACTGATTAGTGGTGAAATATTTGTGATTTACTGATCGTGAATTTTCTGATTTAATTTCACATTTCTAACTAATTTTATACGAGTTGTCTTTATTTTTTTGTTTGCATCACATTTCAGAGCCGTGTAGTTCTGAATAATTTAGTTTTAGTCACTCAGAATTGTAATATGTTGCACATACTATTCTTTCTTCAGTTTGAAAAACTATTATTAAAGACACAGCCAATTAGAACTTTGCTTAAAGTGTTAATTATTTTATTGTATATTTTAGCTTGGAAACGTTCATAAAGTTAGATTTCTTACCTGTGTACGCCAAATTCAATACAAACAACACAGAAAACAAATACAATACAAATTTTGCTTGTTTAGGTAGTTAATAATTCCGTATCCTGTCACACGGGAGGCGTCACTGGTTTGTAACTGGCCTTACAAAAGTATTAACTGCAGATATCATTAAGCTTTTGTACGCAAAGATATGGAGAGTCTATATTTAGCTTTTTAAATTATAAAATGAATAGTTTCTATAAGGGAAGTTCGTTTTTTATTTCCATGCTAAAAGGTTTTCCTAGTTTTAACTCTGTACTTTGTTTTAAGAAAACTTTTAAGTGCAAAGCATATGCCAAAGGTAAGTATTTCAGAAAATAAGTGATGTAAAGACTATTTTTCATGACATTATAAAGAAATAAATTACGTTTAAATTATCATTTTATTATGTTAAATGAAATTTCTTACTCCTCTTCGAATGACAATAACTTCGTATTTGATCCAAATGTGTTCGATATGTGAGAGATTAGGAGAAAACGGTGGCCAGGGAAGCATGTGCACACCTTGCAGAGTACGTTGGCTGATGCAAGCAGTGTGTGGTTGGATGTTAGCCTGCTGATAAAGGCCAGTGGGCACTGTGTGGGTAGGTGAGTGTCACCGGCTGCAGCACGTAATCCACGTATCGTTGGGCCGTAATAATGCCCTGAACACGAATTAGAGGTGACCTGGAATCGTACGCAATTGCGCTTCAAACCATGATTCCGCGTTGTCGCGCGGTGGAGCGTTCCACAGTTGCTGCCGGATTAGACCTGTCTCCACATCGGCGCCACACTCCTACGCTGCGACTATCAGCGCAGAAGCAGAAGCGTGACTCATCTGAGAACACGAATCTGTGCCATTCCGTCGTCCACATCGCTCGAGCCCGGCACCATTGGCATGCGTTGATGTCTATGATGTGGGGTCAATTTTTTCAGTTGTTGAAAGGTAGCCTAAATCGCAATGCAACAGACATTTTTAACAACAGTTCATTTTTAACAAGATCCCACTATTCCATTCATTGGATACCAAATTTTAATAATTTGGTCAAAAGATTTATGCATATGAAATTTCAAAGCAATCCGATGATTCCTTCTTCGTGCGTCGATTTTTTGTTATAGAGTGTAGTTGCTTTTTCTGTCATGTTTTTCTGTGTGATTGCAAGTAGAGTCTGTCTGTCTCGCCGTTCATCTATGAGAATGACGTAGTCATCCTGATATAAGAAAATCCAAGAAGGTAACAGTCAAGGCCAAAACACGTGATTCATATTCATAATCATAGGAAAATACAGGTTAGGTGAGTTGTTGTTATAGATAAGGCCCGGTAGGTCACCTGTTGCGACAGTACCTTGTTTTCTGTTTGATGGAATACTTAGGGCATAATCCATGTTGAGGTGCTAGAACTAGATCAAACCAGAACTCCGGACTTTTATTGTGAACAAATGGATCAAATTAAGCTTTAATTTAGAAGTATCCACCCCTTGTTAACAGAAATTGCAGTATGACAATACAAGACCACATTCTGCAAGAACTACCCTCCATAAAATCAAAGAATTGGAATGGAAGGTTTATTTCTACTCCAGTAGCAAGTGTAGACTATGTGTTATTGCAAATGCTGACCACGTAGCTTAAAATTAAAACACTTATAGGTTCCATTTTAAAGATACGATTCTTTGTGAAGAGAATAGACGGAATAGTTTTGGAGATGAAGCAATTTGGCAAGGCCTGTATCAAAACAAAATGCGTTTATGATAAATGCATGTAATGTGCAACATGATGTGAAGCTTTTCTGAATAACATAAAATGCATACTTAAATTTAAAAATATGCGTGAGACTTCGTGACACACCGGTTGGGAATCACCGAGATAAGCGATCTTAACGATTTCTAAGCCATTTTTTTTATCAGAGAAAAGTATATATAATAAGGTATTGAACCAACCTGTCAACCATGATGCCAGCTCGGATGGCGTGTGCTACAGAACGAAATCTCAGCTTGTCTTCTGACCTTCTTCGAGTCGTGGACATCTGACGTGTAAAAGTGGATGCCAACCATTCTCGGACTTCGGGTGGCACTGCGTCTGGTTGGACCTCTGATAATTCGTCATCTTCATCCAAAAGACGCCTGACGAAGATAAAAAGAAGGTATGAAAATAACGACACAAAAGAGGTAGAAAATACATTTTACAGGGAAAATTTATCTAATATGTTTTTAACAATATGACTGATGTTTTTAAATCTGAGTCAATGGGTAAAAGCATAATATATAAATCAGTTAGTAAGAAAATAAAAGAGAACGAGAATTAATAAGTAAATTCAAATACAATTATTTTGAATGAAACATGAGGATAATTTTTCAGAGAAGGCAGTTCTGAAAATCAAAATAATTCTGAAAGAAAACCAGAAGGTAAGTGGGTAAGACCTGTGAAAATTTTTAATTTGACCTAGATTCGAATATCAAGGAGCAGGCTAGTTGCTAGGAGTTTCGTTATATGAAATCGTGGTATGAACCAATTTCCCACATAAAATCCTTCATGCCATCCAATTGGGATAGTGGTCAGTGATTCTGACTGCCGTATCGAAAGGTCTGGGTTCGTATCCAGGGGAAGGCATGGAGAGTTTGAAAATGTGTAGTGTTTATGTGGCATGGGGGCACTCTAAATACGCGGGCAGTTGAAATCCCTCTCGAGAGGTTGGTGATAGGGGAAGAGGGGAGAAGACCGTCGGACCCGTCTTCCTCAGGATGCTATGCTTTAAAATTAGGGGCAGTACTGAGCACAGTCGTACTGTCACCTGGATGGTGCCGAAGGCTCTTGCCAACGATAGACGTAATCTTGCCTTCTTGCAGCGCTGAATTTCATGGACTTGTGCTGATTATCAGACAAACGAGCTTAGTCACAACAGCAACAACAATTCCTTCACAAAGGCATCCCTCCGTTTAAGCAGGTAGCCAGTGCATGTTTTGAGGTATTTGACTAACCAATCAATGAAAATGAATAATAAATAAAATGAAAAAAGTCAGTCATAGTGTTTCATGCGTTGATCTTGTTGAATATAGGATCTCTTAGAAGCAAATTTCCTTTGAGCGGTAGCAGAGATCTCACAAACGTCTACTTTTAAAATCCTAGCTGCTATTATCAAATCATATAAAAACTTTCAATAACTGCTTCCAAAAAAGATAACTGAATAATAGTCAACAGATTAACTGGGAATATTCTCTTCTCGACTTGTAATTGTTTCTTCCCAACTGTGCATGAATAAATTAGGCAATAAATTCTGATGGGCTGTTATGTGGTAACCCTGAACAACAGCATAATGATATCATAAATGAGAACAATCAGCTTTCAGTATTAATTGTGATACATCAATACGATACTTAAAATTATTTATTTGTTCCAATTTTCGGTGCGTTTAATCACTAACGGATGCTTTCACAAATGGAATACGGATGATCTGACGCTGCTACAAATACCATTTTTTTTTACTTTATGTGCAATATAAACATGTTCTATAATCTTATTTAGTATCTTCTGAGAAACAATTTTTGCAGTTTGCTAAAATGTTAATTAGATACAAAGGCGATTTGACTGTATCAAGTAACATGAAGACAACATGTTTCCTTAATAAGTAATCCTCAAATCTGAATTAAAATTTAATTCGGAAATTGAAACTAATCTTTCAATCGTTTGTCTTTTCATCTTAGCCTTACAGATTATATTAGGAAATAATGTATGTAGTGTCTAAAATTAAATTTGTTGTTTAATTAGCAAATTCTTGTCTGAAAATAACTGATGAAATGGTGAGCAGCTGATTCAGGTCATCTTCATCCATTGTCTTTCCCACAGACTTAATCAGAATATAAACAAAGAAGGATACCATGAACAAAAACACGCAGCAAATAAATGAAAAACTGCATAATATAGCGACCACTGTTTAAGAGTCTTAGATGCCTGCTGCTAAAACATAATTCTGAACTATGTATCTGATTACTAAACACGTGGGAATTTGCGACATGTGATATGAAATATGCCACTTCCTGTTTCCTCTCTATGGCTTTCATCAGCAGATTATCTCTGCTTTCATTACATGGATTGTTTTCTGTTTCAGATAATTCCCAATAGTCTTTTACTCGCTGGCCGAAGCTTTTATTACCTTGAAAAAATTGAAATTTGTTCAAGTTGCCTTGAAGGAACTTTAGTACATTATCATAAGTAACCAAATAAGGTTTTCCCCCCTCTATTAATCATGGGATCGAATAAAACCCATTATTTTAAACGTAGCAATCTAATTAAAATTATTTAATTAGATAATATAATTTTAATTAGATACAGATTTTAATCTAATTTAAATCATTTTAATTAAACATGTCAATCTAATTTAAATTATTTTAATTTGATATACCGATTATTTTAAACATAGCAACTTAATTCAAATACTTTTAATTATCTAAATCTAATATTAATATTAGATTTGAGTATTATTTATAATACATATATTATATATATATTAATTTTGTTTAATTATATATTTAATTATCATTTAAATTATTTTAATTTTAATATATATTCTTATCTCTCTTGTCCCGATATATTATAAAATAAATGTAGATAAGTCATTTTATTTCTCAAAATATTTCGAGATATGCAAAATATATGGTATATCTAAATTAAAAAGTATATCACATACAATGGTATACGAGAGTCAACAGTGACATAAACGACTACACATTCTCAGGAACAGGATATTTATGATAAACAAATTTACATATTTATAGTATTCAAATAAATTTGCTATTGATATGATGATAATTACATAGGACTAAAGAGCAATGTAAATATCGAATATTATGTTTTAGAATTTAATCATAATGATAGGAAAATACCATCTTAGAAATGTGGGAGGCTGAACTTGAAGTCGCCAATATATTAGTTTATGAACAGCTACTTAACAAATGTCTTAAACCTGTTAGGAAATTCATATTTAGAAAGTAAATATGCTTATCTGAAAAGTTTGGGACTAAGTAAATATTTTATCAAAACTTATATAATTTCCTAATTTTGATAGACTGATCAATTAAGTACACGCATATTAAAGTCTTTTATGAATGCAATTCGTAGAAGTATAAGTTATATCATCAGAAGAATAAAATATTCAAAATTTATATGTTTAACTCTTTATCATCATTTTCATGCTAGCCCTAATTATGAAATGAAAATTTTAATTAGCAATATATTAATCACATTTCTTTTTATTAAGTTATTAATCTAACTTTAAATAATTTGGCTACAAAAGCCATTTTTCTGATTCATTTTTGGTACATTTCGGTTATGCATCTCTCACGAATTTTGCCATGTGAGTGTGTATGTGCGCAGGTGAGTGCGTGTATGGTGTGTGTTTGTGTGCCTGTGTATAAAAGAAAAGTACCGTGTATGTGTCGAAGCCTAAAAAAATAACAATCGATTAAAATTTCCTATACCCAACAAAAGAAGATAATAGTCCGTACATACAGATTTACCCCTGTCAATAAATTATTAATGTATACGATGACGAACTAAAACGTTCGTTTTAACATATGAGAACAATATGTTCATTGCGATTTCTATTCTAGTATCAGAGATAGCTAAGAGCTTCGCCGCCCACAACATATAGTTACTTTGAATACCCCAGAACCACTAATCTATAATTTTTGTTTATTGAACTTTTGAATATAAGAGAATATACTTATTAGAAATATAATGAACAGAAAAGTTTCAAAATATTATTAAAAAGAACAGATGTTACTGTTCAATAAATCTAAAACGACACATAATATGCCTGATTGTAATTTTTATGTTACTGCAGAATTTTACCATAACCATTAAATTTTAATTTTGATGCTGACAACAGTGTACATAAAAAGCAGTTAGATATTCCGCAATCGAGATGCATATTATATGGCACTACATTTCTTTTTTAACTATGCTAATAGTACAAATATTAGCAACATTTTTACAAACTATTATGAAAAATCCTATGCTGTTTCTGACCCACTAGCGAGTCGCTGAACACTGGTAGTTAGGTCCGAGGTTCGAATCCCTCGAACGGGCTGTCTGCATGGGCATTTTCGTGGTTTTCCCCATGTGTATACGAGTCAGTTTCCCTTAGAAAAACCTCCACGAAGACATCCCTTCCCTTAGGCAGATAGCCCTAGTGTGCTTTGCCATAATAAAATAAATCAAACCTATACTGTTTCTAAATGATTTTACATTAATTAGCATCTCATTTTTACTTCCTTGTTCGAAGTAAAGGAAGTATTGTAATCACGAAAAATTTCGAGGATCATATTTGAACAAAAATATCCATTTTGACAGTTCCCTAAACCATCTGGACGATTTTTTTTGCATGACATCTGTACCTACGAACAGAATAAAGGGCTATTTTTTCCAAAACAAATTGTAAAATGGTTTTAAAATGTATTAAGAAGGGATTCGTTTCGTGACGTCTTTACGTACGTATGTATGGATATATCACGCATAACTGAAATATGATTAGCCTTAAAATGTTTAAATTTTGTTTATGGGACTGCTATAACTTCTAGCTGTGAACCTCCCTTTTCGTTGGCATCGGCGCACCAGACGTGTATATAAAGTAAGAGTGTGGGTATATATATATATATGTGTGTGTGTGTGTACATATATAATATACGCTATGTTTTTTTTTATTCTTATATACTGGTAAATTTTTCATTTTTTGCTTTAAAAGTGATTGAATTATGTTGTTCTTATGCTCCGGTTAAGGTGTTTACGAGTTTAATTAATCCGCTTGTAATAGTTGTAAAATTATCCACACTTTAACGGTTTAAGTGGCGTTAGGTCTAACGAGGTCCTCATTTGTTTACATTCGAAACTTTTAATGGAATATTGAATTAAGTTCAAGGTGATTAGAATAGGTGGAATAAGCCTGACGTCACACAAGTGAAGCTAAGGAAATGTCAGCGTGACGTCCCGACTTATCATGGCGGCCATACAGCTCACGGAAACATATTGTTAAATAAAATTACAGTGCCTTTAAAAGCAAATATCACCGCCCGCAGGCTCAGAAAAAGTGTCTTTAGGCATAATTGGCATAAAATGCCACTGAAAATGGTCTTCCACGTTTTACCATGTATACATTCATGTACCTAGATTTTATTAAATTAAAGTGTTTGGGAAAAAAAAAAAAAAAACTCTTTTGGCAGATGCAGTAAGAATTAAAGTATTTATTTTTTGAAAAATTTGATTCTCTGCATTACAGTGGGGTAAGTGGGATAAGTTCATTATTTGACATTTTGGGGCAACTGCCGAGTTTCACATAATAAATGTTGCTTATAGATTGGGGGGGGTTACGCTTTGCTAATGTAATTGCATATCCCAAAGCATAACTGATACATCTGTCAAAGACTACGGACGCCTTTGTGGAGGCCATTCTAAGGGTAACTGGCGTTCTAACTTCATAAAAATCCTATTTTTGAAATTTCCCAGGTTTATAAATCCGATGAAACGTTATCATTTTGGCTGACTAAAGACCGATTTACTGAAAAAGCAGATCTTGTCTTAAATTCTGCGTTTTTTTAAACAATTTCTTTCAGCAATACAGTAATATCATTTACTCTTCGTTGAAAATGCATTTTGGATGTGTTTGAGATTTATCTTTTATATTTCTGAACAGGTTTGGTTTGGTTTATTTGATTATGGCAAAGCATGCGAGGGCTCTTTGCCTAAGAGAATGAAAGCCTTCGTCAAGGATTTTCTAAGGGAAACTGGCTAGTATACATGTTACACATGGATAAAACCACAAAAACGCCCATGTAGCTCCTTTGCCGGAATTCAAACACCGGACCGACCTACCACTGTTCAGCGAGTTTATCACTCGGTCGCCTGGTGGGCATATTTCTCAACAGGAACTACAGAATCTAAAATATGATATTTACCGGCATATAAAACACTCGCCATTTTTTGAAGGAACTTTTTAGAATACAAATTTGGTTTACTTTTTATCTAGTTCATTAGCAAGGGGAGATAAAGATTGTAATGTTTGATATAATTTGGACATAACATTCATTTAAGTACATAAATGAAACATATTCGTGTAAAATTAAAACAATAATAAAATACAGAAATTATGATTACTTTCGTGTGATATACATGATCATCATCATATTGAGTTACAGAACCAGAGACTGGCCATTCTATTTCTTACGCATACTGCTCTTACTTTATTTCGTGCAGACATATTCAAGAGCCAATTTGAGAATGTAATCTTTAGCTTCAAGATAGCTACCGAGCTTTTGAATAGGTTGTGCGGAATGGGGAGCTTTCAGTGTCACATTCAAATGCCATATTCAATGTCAGCCAGAACTACATTTCGAGTCGTCTGAATTCCGCTATAAGAAAATGCTCAATCAAAAAGCGAAAAGTTGGATCTGAACTGCCGGAAGAATGATATTCGCTTTTCTTTTTTATGCGTTGTGAAGGAATGCTGTATATCAGTGGTCTTCGAGTGGTGTCTTACCAACCGCATGCAGCCTCCGAAGCAATTTTACCCGACCCGCAAAATCACTTCAATTATGCATTTTTTTGCATAAGTTGTTGCAAAGATTTAAAGATTTTAGTTCTTTGAAGTACGAATTTATTGCCTTACATTATTTTATCTTCTATTAAAAACAAATATGAATACCACACTAGAAAATCTATAAAAAGAAATAATTAATGTACAATGTAATATAAAATTTATTCAAAGATTAGCGATGCAGATTTTATTAAAGTTTCCTTCGCACTTGGCAAAAACAAATAAGATCAGCTACGAATTTTCGCATGAAAAACAATCTTTTGTTTCGAATTTTCGCTTCAAAAATAATCGCTCATTTATATGCGAACACCGTTTTTTTACAGTAGAAAATTAATGAGAAAAGAGCCCGATTAACTGATAAGCACGTACTCGTATAATCCATGACGAAAACAATTTCTAGTAATTTCTCTCTAAGACTACAAACTTTATCAGAATCGAAACGCCACCAAGTGTTAAGCTGTTGCAAGAAATAAAGAAGTTTATTATTATTATTTACGTGCAAACATATGTATTTTTATTTATGCATCGAAGACGAATTTTATAAATAGAGAAAAGTTGTATTATTTATGCTAAAGTTTTGTCTCCCTTGATACACGTTTTTATGAAAACTTAGGAAGTTTTCATAATTTGTTTATTAGCCCAAAGGGGCATTATACCCAAAGGGTCTCAAAACGGCATTTTGCGTCGTTTCACTTTCTGCGTTGGTTCACTTTTCAAACTGTTGTCACCAAATATTATCGCCATATTTAAAGAAACTAAATAATGAAGAATCTGCATAAATGCATGAATGTTTCTGGCATTGTGGAAAAACAACAGTACCTAGAGCCATCATATTTTGAATAAGGTAGTTGCCCAACCGAGCATGGGCACTCGAAAGCCCGAATTTTGAATTTCGAATTTTTTGTTATCGATTTCAAATTATGTATAATTTTGAAGAATTTTTTGATAAACAAACTCAACGATTTCAAAGTGAACAATGGCAACACTGCACGGGAAAAAATATTTTTATCTCCAGGGCGCGAGACTTGTATCGGAAGTTCTAAAAATATGCTGTTTTAAAATATTTTGTGATATTGCTGTTGAATTGAATTTAATGTGGTTTGAGTGAGAAGAACACGATATTTAATAAATAAAGGTAACAGAAAAAAGTTAAAAAACACCTTATTGGGCGTAATATAAAATCTGAAAGCTTTCAGATTTCCTTTTTTTTAGTATAAATTAAAGCAAATTATTTAATGAGTAATTAAAATATAGAATTATGTGAAAGAAATGTCAGTCTATGAATTAAGCATTTAGCTGTCAATATATTTGTATAACTAAGAGCAATTAAAAAATGTCTTACATGTACAGAATTTTAGATTTCAGATAGAAAATAAATACAAATTTGAAATTTTTTCCTTTGAGATATTGTTACTATTATTTATCAATGTTTCCAGAAATATTTAGTAAGTAAAATTAAAAATTATTTAAACTACTTCTTATTGTATTAAAAAATTGTGTAGTCAGCTGGATGTATTATAAATCAGATGAATTTTAAATTAATAAATAAAGATTTAAATTGTTTGGGAATCCGCCCATTGCTTTATCTCTCTCAGTTTGTTAATCTGTTACATATGGATTAAACCTGAAAAACAAATTAAAAGTCTTAAGCTTTGCCGAATGGCAACACTCTGAAAATCGGCTATACGCGAGTGCGTGTGGAAGCTTGCACCATAGCAATATTGCCAAAGTGCTGTTTATAAATGCTGTTTCTCAATTCTCTCTATTTTTGCGATTATCTGTTTCCGAAACATCATGCCAGAGTATCTTATTTTGTCAGGACGTGATTTTACATGCTAGCTGTCTGGCCTTTTGATGAAAAGTGTTATATTTTGCTCCTTAATTGTCCATCATTACACGAACTTATATTTATAAGTGTCTATTCTGAACATCAATTGATAAAGATAGCCATGAATTCGTAAATGATAGTGTTTGTATAAGTTAGATGTATAAATGTGTTTAAATGGAAGCATGCCAAAAAAACCATACATAATGCTCTGATGTTATCTATATATGTCTAACATGGTTTAAAAAAATTAAATTAAACTGTACTGAATTCGATGGTTGAGCTGTAACTGTAACACTGTTGAATTCGGTGGTTGCAAATGATCAAACACTATAACAAATCGTTAGTGCACAAAATACTCAAAAGAAACTAAACTGAGAATTTAAGATGCATATTAGTTACAGGTTGCTTAAGCATTATAGGATATGAAAATACATGAACGAACTACACAGTACAGTTTGTAAGTCAGTGCTTACTTGGCTTCGTCCAGGTATATAGCTTCCAACACAGAAACAGCGTAACCGACCGTCTGCTGTAAAAGATCCATGGGCACTTCTCCGTCGTTCACGTGACTGGACAGGTCTCGGAGCCTGCAAAGTAATGAGAAAGAGTCATGCTGGGCTATAATTACGTAATAAGCTTTATAGGGCAATTAGGTCTGATAACAGCCTGCCTGCGAAATGAGATGACTTATGTCTCGGTGGAAATTTCCGGTTTTCGAAAATAATATACCCTGTATAATGAATAAAGATTTAGTGAATCATAAAATCGATAATGCAAATAGTTTATGTTTTGTGACTCGAGACTCGTTTTTTCTAAAAATTGTTTATTATACTGCGAATCTAATCTACGACGTTTATTCACAATTATAGACCATTAGCCGCCTTAGAGAAGTGATAGCGGTGCTTATTTATGCTCAACTAAATACTGGCTACTTTCATAGATGGCCGTTTACGGGAGTGGATCGCTATAACAAGTATCATTGTTTATTAATCAGGTACCCTGAACTAAAATTTAATGAAGCAAATTTTCCTATGTCTGTAATTTATGTGATGATAAATATAAGCATACAACAGATGATTTGCACCAGGACAAATATAAATAAACAATATGTACTGGTAGCTTGATTTCTTTCAAGGAGATACGAAAAATTTCAAGACCTGCCGCTCCAGAGAGTAGTGACATCTCTGTAATGACACCTGAATTAAACAAAAGCGGTCAGTTACTCTTCACCGACTTGGATTGATACACTAGACTCCTTCCTGCCCCACAGTCCTCTTTAACTGTGAGGGGATGTAAGAAACTAATGACATTCTTCTCATGTGCTTTAGTGATGCAAACGTTAGCTTACTGGCTCAACCCGCTAGAGATCCCCGCATTAATCATTAGATATTAGGAACTGTCGAGACATTAGGAATTTCGGAGACAGATATCATAAAAAAATGCTGCTCTCGGCGGCAGTCGAACTTGAGACCTCAAATCACCAAAGTAATGTGCACGCCACTGACTACAACAGCTCATGGAAATATATGTTTTATTCCTTAATACAGTTACGTAGCTTCAGAAACATTCCTGACGCTCCACTATCCTAAGAATCCATGTTTTGATACTGTTTCTAATACTTCTGCTGACATTTCACTTCTTTTATATGTTTTTATATTGACTTACATGTGAACGATGTCAAATTATTCTTCGGAATTTACGAACATTCGGTCTTGCTAGATAATTTCAAAGATTTTCTTCTCGCTAGTTAAAATTGTTATCATATTTAGAGAGGTAAAATTAACGTCGATAAAGTTTCTCCTGACTCCTTTCTGCAGACTTTCTGGTCAGCGATAGACGCTGTTATAAAACTAATGCTACCTTTAGAAATTCATGAAGAAACTTCGTGACACTAGCGGCCATTTGATTTTGCCAAAAGTAATTCATTTTCCTATTTTGACTATTTTATTTCAGTTCTGTAAAATGTTTTGAATTTGTTTCGAAGTTCTCTTCAAAATGTCGAAATATTCATTATATCTGGAACTGGCATTACATTTTAAAGTCGGTTTAAAGAGTCATTAGGTTTATCGATAAAACAGGAAACGTGAAGAATCTGCAGTGCCATCGCCGGAATCTGAACTTCGACTTCCTGATGCGTCGGACATATTTTCAATTACACCACGAAACCATGCAGAAAGGCGGAAGAAAATATCTTATGTAATTCCCCTTTTAAAGGGCGACAGTGTTATCCACTGTCACCCAATTGGCAATTCCTGATAGTGGCATATTATTTTTTTTAGATTGACGAACCCTTTTTTTTTTAGCCCGGACAGCACTTTTAGAGTTATTAGGCTTATCGAAGAACTAGAAGCCGTGAAAAATGCGTAGTGCACTATCCGGGATTCGAACTCTGGACCTCCCGATTCCAGCTACACAACGAAAGCATGAGGAAAGTAGGGAGGAAATACCTGGCACTTTTTGGTACCAAGAACGCCTATTCACTTTGCGATACTTTATTCTAAAATTATTTTAACTAACTGCATGACAATCAAAATGTGGTTTTGTTCTATTACGCAATTTATACGAAAGATTAAAACTTTCTATTATACATAAAGAATGCCTTTAATTTTAATAAGTAAACAAGAATAAAAATTGATTATTTAATGACATATGAGTTGTACTCCATTTTGGATATCTAAGCTCTCTAATCGATTTAAAAAATGCAAGATTATATCTGAAATATTTCTAATTAGTATGTTTTCAAATGATAGGAGTCCTAAAATACATTAGTTTTGTTAAATCCCACTTGCTGAAATCTCAAACACAGTTTGATGCACAGATTCTGTAAGAAAGACACACGTTAAGTGCTTAAAAAGTAAAATTTCACTTATTTTACATTAATTTATTTAAAAAAGTCAAAGCACTTCCAGAGGTAACAAATAATACATAGTTTTAAAGACAATTTTGCCAACAATTTAAAATATCTGAGAAATTTAAGTATCGACGTCATTTTAAAATTATTACAAGAGAGCTTCCTTAAGAACAAAGAAAGTATTTAAGATTTTTTTCACAGAGCTGTACATAACGAATTGTTCGCCATTATACTTTTGTAAGTTTTGTGAACTGCTCTATAACACAAGCATATTATAGGAAATCACACTAATCGTCTTATAATTAAAGTTTATGCTGCTTTTACAATTCTTTATACCCTTTTGAGTGTGTAATGGCGAATTTTCCTTGCCTTTAATCATTATACGACCGACTAGTTGTTGCATGGTCAAAGCTGCTGAACACTGGTAGCTGTCTCCTAGTTTTATTCTCGATGATTAAACGGGCTGGGTGTACCAAGATTTCATTGGTTTCATCATGCGTAACGAATGCAAATTTTCCTTAAAAGGACCTTGGCATGTTTCTCATAGAAAGATAGCTGGGCTTAATGTGCTTGTCGTAATCAAAATAATTCAGTCCAGTTATAATAATGTATCTTATTATTACTTCGGAGATCAAGATACAGCTTTGATACATTACACTTGGAGAAGATATGATAATATACACTATCTTTGGGATAAATAGTCACGAATCGTTTTCCTCTCTATGAAATCCTTCATGGGGAGCTATTCTCCTACAACAGTATTTATATATACAATGTAGTAATTAAATAATGAAGCGGCTTTTGTTTGTAAAGAAAGAATAAAAGTTACAATTAGTCGAAATACGATCTTTCTGAGTCAATACAAACGGCGACAGTATTAAATAATGAAAGAACACGATTTAACGCAGTATATTTTTGTTATACCTCTCAAGAAAGAATATTTATAGTTCTTTGGGTCTCTTCAGAGACAGAAACAGTTATCATTTAAGAGACAGCTTTTATTTGAGGAACAGAAATTAGTTTCAAGGGAACAATTCTGAAGACGGATGATTGATAGCACACACTTGTTTCTGGGACAGAAATGACTCTATGCGTACTGAACAGTGTGAAGATTGTTACAACCTCTTTGGTATCGCATGGTATAGGGGCTTTATGGCACATAATCTGAAAACAGCGTGTTTGGGACAATAGTTTTCAGCTGAATGATGCGACAGTGAGCATTAAAAATATCTTGTTTAATTGGCAGATTTAAAAGTCATTTGCTAGGCCAGGTGGAAATGTGCTTTTAAAATATAATGTAGATTTGACTCATCAGCTTTAAAAAGATTAAAAAAAGTACAGATTTATCATTTAATGGAACAACAATATATATCTATTAAAAAGAACTACGGAATATTTAGAAGGCTCTTCAAGCCAGTACCAGATTACAGCTATTCGTACATTCAAGCTATACAGTACCAGATTATTATATATTTAGTAGGCTTTAGACAAATCTTAAATTGGAATCCCATTAATATAAGTCGATTGTAATATAATCTTAAATAATATCATTTATAATTTTATCATATAAAACACAACTTACGTTCTCTCTGTAAATTATTTCATTTACTGTAAATGCTGAAAGTTATGATATCACACTTGAAAAACTGTCCGAAAGGCCAAAGTTAATTTCGACAAAAATTAATATTAGCCGTATCTACACACTGACATGCCACTTCAGTATTACTGTCACCTCCGCATTGGCTTACACTACGTTCAAACTCCAGTTACTGCCCTAAGCTGCAAAATAGCTGTCATCCAAAACTTTAATATGAATATCTAATACATTTGTAGAGCTAATAATCTAGTTGTCGACTACTAATTTGTCTGTCCATTATTAGAAAAGCCCTGAAGATGTCATTGCCTTGAAAACGACGTGGGCGGTTACAAGGATTGACAATGTCTTAGTTAAAGATGACAGCAATAGACAACATTTCAGTAGCTTTTAAGGAAATAGGCAACAATCAATCTTACTGAACGACTTTCAATCTTAGCAGTAAATCGAGATCACACTTAAAAAATTAATATATACATTGCGTATTTAGTACTAAATACTAGTGTAGTTGAGATAAAAATGTACCGATATGTACTAGATATCTTCGCATCTCACAGTGGCATGTCATTCTCTGTTTAAACATATATATTAAAACTGTGAAACCAAGCTTTCACTCTTACAGTCACATGACATTAAATGAAATTAAAAAATAAATTTAACAGTTATGTTTCAGAAGCAAACAGTAATAGTAGTATTTTAAACATTAATAATTATTTTCTCTTGTTTCAAAATTTAGTAAAACACTATAAATGTATTATAACATCAGTATTTTAAAGAACGTTGCCAGCGTAATATAAGCGTAAGAAATATTCGAGGTGATCGAAAAATTAGTAAATTTTTAAAGGAGAGGAAACTTGCATCTGAAAACTTAAGATCTCAATTCCACTGAAGAAATTTTTACCAATAAAAACTTCACAAATATGAACAAAAATACCGCTAATGTAAATATGATTGTACATATTATTCCGTACTATTAAATTCCATGTTTTCAAATACCATATTTTAAGTTTGAAAAAGCAAGTATGCGTTAAACCGAATTCCAAATTCCTGATTTTTGATAGGCCATGATCGATGTTAACTATAAGCTATGATACATAAATAAAACTCTAAAGTATAATAAGTAAATGTTCATTAAAATGTAA